ACTTATTTAGTTTTACTTACTACTAAGTCGTTGTAGTATTATTATATATATATATATATATATATATATATGTATGTTGTTTAAATTTGCAACCTTATATTGTGGCTTGCATAAGGTTGCAAATTTAAACATTCCTATTATAAAATATAATTTTGGTGTAAAAAATAATAATCTTAGGATGGCTTGAGAATTTATTATCATCTCTAATGATAAAGTTTTAAATTTAAAAAATTGTTTAAATCAAATAGATCTGTAAACACATGAAACTCTTAAAAATAATCAGTCCAAATAATGTGTTGCAAGATGCATTATTTTTTAGACTCAAATTTTTTCTTTTTCTATATTCATACATCTCGATGTCGAGAAAATTAATTTAAGGTTTTTTCAATCTCTACACAGCCTTTTCCAATGGATTTTCAAGTACACTTTAATGCCATATTTTAAAGATGCAGCCTTATATAAAATTTTTCTAAATATATTGTTGAATGTTTTTTAGTACTCTCGAGTTCTCACCTCATAAACTCTTATTCAATTTTAATTTAATTTTATTTATTTTTAATACTGTTTATTGTCGATTTAGACCGATCCAAATCCAATCAACACATATTTATCCCACATATCTAGATTTTAAAATGTGCTCTGTTAGAGTACTCATATATAAATGAGTATTTTCTAAATGTACTCAATATTTTTAGACATTCATTGCTCTTTATTTTGTAATATAAATTTTTTTAAGCAAAATGTATTTTCCTTCATTAGGAGATGTATGATAGATATATTTACAAAAAATTAGTAGCATTTTACTAGTGGTTAAGAAACAATCATTATTCAATATGGATGATGTCACACCTCATGTGGAGATATCATCATCTATTATAGTTAATAAATATTTATCTTTGTATCAATAGTTTCTACTTTATCTCTGATTAATTATTTAAAAATGTCCATCACAACAAAATTATATACAATAGAGCAGGGATACCAGATCGTAAAAAATATTGAGTAGTTTAATAAAAAAAATTGTATAATGTCATGAGGCCATTTACCTATTGAACAAGGGATCACAATTGCCTATAATACTTTTTCCTTTACATGAAAGTTCTTATTGTCAATAACATGATTTCTTATTATTTTAAATTTTTTATTGTTTAATTTATTTTTTATTTTTTCTCTTTAATGTATGAATATTATTTTTAAATAATAATAATCATAAATTTAAAACCTTGGCACTACACAAACTGGCGCTTAAAACATTGGTGCCAAAAAAAAAAAAGGCGCATGGAAAATGGGTAGAGAGAAAATTGCGCAGGAAGGAAGAAAGTGAGAAGTGGGAAGTACGGAAAACCCATGTAAGAGAGAAAAAAAAAGGGCGAAGGGGGTGGAAATAGTGGAAGGAACCCCTGGGAGAGAGGGAGGGCAAGTCACGTCGAGGAGGGGCCACCACGTGAACCGCCCGCATTCATTCACTCATTCATCTAGCAGCCCCTCCCCCTCTCTCTCTCTCTCTCTCTCTACTATTCTTTCTCTTCAAAACTATTTCTTCTCTCTCTTTCTTTTTCTCTCTCTCTCTCTCTCTCTCTGTACTCTACTCTCTTTTACAGTTTCAATTTCACCCCATTCATTACTTTTTTTTTACGTCCCATCCCTTCCCACTTTCTCTCTTCTCCATTCTCCATTCCAAAACCTCCTTCCTCTTCATCCGCAGCACCAAAACCCCAAAAAGGCAAAAAAGAAGAAAGGAAACGTCAATACCATCGCACCAGAAATCCCTAAGGGGATTGAGAGAGAAAGAGTCAGTTAGAGAGAGAGAGAAAGTGAGGTGGAAGTTTGAAAGAGGGAGAGGAGAGGTGAGGATTATGGGCGGTTGAGATAGAAAGCTGTAGAGACAATTGGTGGGGGATAGAGTTGGAAGGTAAATAGAAGAAATGATGGATGAAGGTGGCGGTGGCGGTGGCGGTGGCGGTGGCGGTGGCGGCAGCGCAGGCCCCGGCGAGGGCTCCGGCACTGGCAGCGTAGCGGAATCATCCTCCCCTGCTCCGCCGAGCCGCTATGAGTCGCAAAAGCGGCGGGACTGGAATACCTTCCTCCAATACCTCAAGAACCACAAGCCCCCACTTTCTCTCTCTAGATGCAGCGGCGCCCACGTGATAGAGTTTCTCAAATACCTCGACCAGTTTGGGAAAACAAAGGTCCATCTCGTTGGGTGCCCCTACTTCGGGCACCCGAGCCCGCCGAACCCATGTGCTTGCCCGCTGAAGCAGGCCTGGGGCAGCCTTGATGCGCTGATCGGGCGGCTGCGGGCCGCGTACGAGGAGAACGGGGGGCGGCCCGACGCCAACCCTTTCGGAGCACGGGCAGTGAGGATTTATTTGAGGGAGGTGCGGGAGTCGCAGGCCAAGGCGAGGGGCATTCCTTATGAGAAGAAGAAGCGAAAGAGGCCTCCGCCACCTGCCGACCAGGGAGCAGCCTCGGGTGAGCCTAATTCCGCAGGCGGCGCCAGTAGTGGTGGCTCGGTGCCTCCGGCTACAGCTGCCATGTAGTAATCAGAGGGTTTGGTAGAGATGTATTATGTTTTTTTTTTCCTCCTCTTTTTTTCTGTGTTTCTTTTCAAATCTCAAGGTTTTTGAGGTTTTTAGGATATATATGAGACTGCATATGGGAAGAAAAGCTTCTTATGAACACCCCCTCTCTCATCTCCCCTCTCTCCGACTGGTTATGACTTTTTTTCATGTCTGATACTAACCACCAATTGTGAGGGGAGCTCTCCTCTCTCTTCGCCATTGAAGTCGAACACACTCTTTCTTACAGAAGTCAGGTCTCACTTTCTCTCTCTAAAAACTCAATCTATTTTCTCTGCAGTCGCCTTCCACCACGAAGACCTCCCGATGATTGGTGATTGGTTGCCGTTTTTGATTTGTTGAGGGTTTTCATTGGATCGAGACTTTTGGAGTTTCTCTTGGGGACGGATGCGATTTGCTCATCGGCATCTCTACTCTCTTTAACTCCGTTTCTCTGTCTTCGAGTTTACTGAATTATACCCCGATAATATACTTTCTCTCTCTAGAAAGTTTACATTGTAGATTTGTGCATGGCGGGGAGTGAGTTGATTATGTAAATGAGATATACGTCTCCTTGTGGGTGTTCCTTTCTTGCATGATCTTGGACATTTCTCCATTTGTATGGCAGGAGCAATTATTTTAGTGGAATGGTGAATCCTAACCAGGCGAATCGGGCAGTTTCTCTCTCTACAATTCTCAATTTCTTACTCTCTCTCTCTCTACACTCAAACAGTACTCTCTCTCTCTCTCTCTACCACACCCAAACCAGTGTTCATCCTTGCATTCAAATTTTACTCCCAACCCTTACATTTGAAATTTTAACAGTCTCCTCCTCTCCCTGTTGTCTCTTCCACCTATTCAAAGCTTTCTCTCTCTAGATGTTGCACTTGTTTTGAGCGTTTTAGAGAGAGAAAAACCTGAACCTTTCCGATGAATCCGAGAGAGGATTGAAGTATCCTAAATCACAGGCACGTGTGCGTAACAATACTTCTTCTGGACTAGTCAATGGTAGTGCAATAGAGGGCCCTTGTTGCACCGCCCTTCTCTCTCTAACACTCTCTCTCTCTAACTTTCTCTCTCTTGTACTCTTGCTCATCGACCCGTCCTGCACCAATAGAGGAGACAAGGAAGATGACCCCTCTATACCCCTCTGACAAGGACGAAGACTCTCACTCTCTCTCTCTCTCTCTCTTTCTCTCTCTTCATGGAAGAAGACTCTTTCAAAGAACTCTCTGTGGAAAAAGACTGACCACCGAATGGGACCTCTCTTTCTCTCTCTAAACATGGGACACAGAGAACTCTCCCTCCCTGTCGGACACATGCACCGTCTCTCTCTCTCATCCTTATTTTATCTCTCTAGCAAGAAGTACCCTCTCTCTCTACCCCCCTCTTATCTCCCCCAACGTTGACGATAGAAAAACAAGCTCCAATTCTTTCACTGTAGTCCATGACTCTTTCTCTCTCTACATCACTGTAGTCATGATTGTCTTTCTCTCTCTACATCACTGTAGTAGATGGCTCCGTCTTTCTCTCTCTACGTTAGTTGGGGTTGGAGAACGAATGTGGTCGTATCCGAGCAAAAGATTGATCAGAGACAAAAGAAAAGCAGCCTTACGAGTACACCAACACGTAGACAGAGAAAAGATCTTGACATTTACACTGTATTTGGTCTGCATATTCTCCTGAGCAACACTCTCGTTGAAAACACTTTTTTGAACCAATAATATTACCATGGGTTCTCTCTCTCTCTCTCTCTCTCTAAAATCGAGAGATATGGGTTCTCTCTCTCTCTCTCTAGCTTTGTTTTAAAATCGTATTTCCTTTGAGCACCGTCTAGTCTTGTCCGCACCCCCCGGCCCTTCTGGTGCGCAGTATTATTATTGAAGACTGAGTGAGGGGAATATATACATATAATATTCGCGCATTTGCTATCAGACTCAAGCAAGCGTTCTCTTTCTTATTTTACATCCATATTCTCTCAACACGCCATTAAAAATGTGCTCCTCCTTGTGCGCTTTCTCTCTCTCTCTCTCTAACAATTCCTAATCTCCCCACTCTCTCTCTCTCTCTTCCTTCATGTCCTTTCTCTCACATTCAGTTCTTAATTTCCTGGTGTCCCTCCACTTCTCCATGCACCAATTCTTTCTGGTATCTCTCTGTAGATTTCATATGGTCCTTTCTGTATCTACTGTCCTCTGCATCTCTCTCTCTCTCTCTAATAACTTCTCTCTATCAAAATTCCTTACAATCCTTTCTTTTATGATCTTCTCTCTCTAAATTTCGTCTCCCTCTCCATCAATTCCCTATGATTCTCTCTGAGAGAGAGATTATTGAATTTGGCGTGCATTTTTTTATGAGAATTTTGATAGAGATAGAGAGAGACATTCTTTTTGAAGGTGGTGTTTATTTATTAGCAACTTCTTTACAAATGGATAACACCCGATATAAAAGCATGAGAGGTTCATCAATCCACCATAATTCTATAGGATTTTTTTTTTTTTTTTTTTAATTATGTCTTGTGGTTGCTTTGTATGTACATTTGGTTGTAATCGATTACTACTATGTAGCATGAAGCCTCAGATCTGATAGCATTTTGTGAGTACTTTTAAGCCCTAAATGGTACCTCTCCCTTAACCATATTTGGAAAGCTTCCCCATGTTCTTTTTGTCATTGGAGCTTTCTCTCTCTAGGCACGTGAGGACTGGTGAAAATTCATGGCTTCTCATAAAGCAAGAGTATTTATGTGAAATTCAGTAAGTGTACAGAATGTTGGGTCATTTCAAGGGTTTGCTCCTCATTTGTTTTCAATTGTTATGTACCCATGTCATAAACTATATAGTATGGCTCCATAATCTCAGCTTTTAAAAATTTCTAGGGCAGAATGAAGTTACTCTGGTAATTATCATGAAATCAAGTAACCACATTTTATCACTCGAGATCAACTTAATTTGTTCTTCTCTCACTCTAGCTATTGGTTTTCTTCAGCTCAACTCTCTGGAAATTTCCTATATATTGGCACATGTATTTTGATTGATAGGGTTTCGGTGGGTCAGCCGACGCACCTACTGTTGCGTTCGAAATCAAGAGTTAGCAGGGTGATGATATAAACCGCTACGATTGTGAAACTAAGAAAAATAAAAAGGGAATTTGGATCTTAGAAATGTACTAAAACTTTATTTTTGGAACATTCATTTAATTCTTTGTAATCAACATATAGCTATTTTTTGTGCTGCGAAATCGTGGAGAGAAAGCAGAAATGTGTCTAGAGTGACTTGGGATGTGTTTCTGATCCTAAATCCATCTCCAATATGGATTTTTGGAACGATACTGCACTTGACTAGGATCTCATCTATTTTTCCCATGATTTTATATTATTTTAATTGTAGAGATCAACCCTCCCTCCATTATAAGAGTTCGGTCCCCCTCAGAAGTTTGTTTGTGATGATTTGAAGCTTGTTATCTCATAGCAGTTTTGAGATATATATGGCTTATTGGTTTTTAAAGGTAGAATTTGAGCATCCATATTTTGATGATTATATTTACAAGCTTAACATTGAATCAATTTTAATGTGCTTCTCTACTAACCATGGTAAAATTGATTTTCTTCTTTAAGGAATTCTCAATATGCTAGTTACATGGGACAATTGTATTCTTTGGGATTTTTTACAATGGGAACATTAGATGCTTCTGACCATTTTACCAATGCTTAAGCCAAGTGTACACATAAAAGTAATTGTACACCATGACTTTTATTTTTTTTGGAGCATGAGTTAGTATTTTGTTTGTTGCTTTTCATGAGACAGAGCTCTCTCAAGAAAGGAACATAAAACAAGCTTGGATCACAGGCCTTCTTCATTGCAATGTGAACCACAGGAGGATCATAAAAACCATAACCAGATATTCCTGTGCTTGACCAATAATAGAATGATATTCATTCCTATTTTAAAAACAATTCTAGTTTTCGGTTTTCACATGTGCATGTAAGAATTTACCTGGCAAATATCCAATGCTGAATTGGATCACAAGTGCTCTTTTCATTTTATTTACCTTTACCAGTTTCCATAGTAATTAAACAAGGCTTGTTCCCGAATCGTCACAGCACAGCTTTGCCATTCCACGATCGTTCCATGACTGTAAATGTCGAGGAGGCATGGAATCCTTCTGATTTCAGAGTGATGTTGTAGTTCTTCCCTCTTCAAAAGTTCCTCTCGAACTTTACATGCAGTTTCAGGAGCAATAGACCGTGCAAACATCATGATTTGAGAGGTTAGCCATTGGATGAGTCCCTTCATGCAGTAATTCTTACTAAACAAGGATACTAGCACCATTCAGATTTCCAAACTAGGAGTTGATTTGTGTTGACATTGCAGGTATATTATTGACAAAGCATTAGATGCAACTGAAAGCAAAACATGTATTTTTTATCACGGATTTATGGGCTTATTCGCAGCATTTCTGGAAAAACTGGGTCAAAAAGGTGACAAAGAAGCATATTATTGAACAATTCCCGATCTAGTGTGTTAAAAAAAATAACTTTAAATGTGTATAGTGTTCTACCCAAGCACACCCTAGGAGAAAACAAATATGAAAGCTATTCTTTGCTTGATTTCTTTTGTGGCATGTTGATTACTTGGGCCATCAGATGCCTTAATTTATCTTCCCTAGATTCACCACAGAAACATGTTTAATACTGAAGCATATGAAATCAAGATTAACAATAGTATAAGGAATTCAAGATTAAGAAGTTGTACAAGAAACCCATTTCCAAGTTGTAGCAATGGCCTGCATGGCGCCTTTCTCTTTCTCATTCCTTCAGAGGGAAGAGTGTGATAAATTGAATTTTTAATAGACAACAATAAGGGGAATCAGGGGGGTCTTAAGTATCAGAAAAGACCTCAATTTTCTCTCTATCATCATTCATTTGTCACATATAATCACATGGGTTTTCACTCAAGCAGGTTGCAAAAGGAAATCTTTATACAGAACAAGAAATTCTCAAATCCCTAATAATATCCTTGGCTTCTACACCATTTATGATTCCACATGACTTTGCTGGCCTCGGAATTCATTTATCCGATGAAATTGTTCTGACTATGAAACTGCACTTCCATCTTTAACACTCAAAAGTAATCCTAGTACAACATGATTTTATTTCTTTCTACACTGGTATAAGGTTAAACAACTCCATAATGATACAAAATTACATCAAAAAATATTGAAAGAAGATTTGATTTCATTAATCGAATACAAATGACTCGGTTCGGAGCTTTTTCTTGTTCGTGATTGCTGCAATTCTTCATTCCTTCAGTGGATAAAGCTCAAAACTGAACTCGAAAGCACATCACTCAAAGCACAATCGAAAAACATATTCAGAACTATGCTTAGGCTTTTGATTACCATGCCTCATATTTGGAATAACATTTTATGCCTAGGCTTTTGATTATTCATATTGGAATAATATTTTCAATACTATTTCTAGAGAACATGCATGAATTTTTTCAGTGTTATACCTTCTCAAATGTGTTTGGAGTGGCTTATAATGGATCCCCAAATCATAGTCTCAAATCCTGCAAGAAATGAGGTTCTTGGTCCTTGGAGAAATCTACAGGTTCAAGTTCTTATCCTAGTTGAAGTGTGTTATGTTTTATGTTTGTTCACCTTATGGAGAAAATCACTGCACTTCACACTATATG